TGGGACAGCTAAAATGTCAGTAGGTTTTTCTCCCTACGAATACCAGCTCTGTACAGATTCCCTCTTGGCATCTTTAATCCACTTATCCCATTCCCAAAATAGTAAAATGCTGAGGCAAAAGTAGCTGCCGAATGTTAGCTCACCTCCTTGTGCAGTTCCCTTTATCCATGGTTTTTATCCCCTGGGGTCCTTCTTGTCCCAGCAGCTTGCTAATGATTTCAAACTTTTTTTTTTTTTTAAGTTGAGCTTTTCTAGTTGTTCTTGGTAGAAGTGTTGAGTCAGCCTCAAGCTACTCCATCATGACTAGAAGCAGAAGAGTGCTTGTACAGTTTTTTGGAAAAGCTCCATTAGCAATTCTTGTGCACATCCTGGTTAAAAATAACTTGCCCTAGATATTAGTGAAATGTTTTATAGCAGTGGTGTCTTTCAAATCAGAATTGCCTCACAGTTAACACAGTCTTCATTTTAAGTCTGGTCAAGAAGAAGTGCTTATAAAAATCAAGTGATTAAAGTACGATAGTTATTCCAGTTTATTTTATTAAATGTGCCCTCAGTCAGCATTATCCCTATATGCTGTAGCATGTTTAATTAACTAAAAGCATGTGCATAGACTGTTAATATTCAAAGGAGTTTCAGAGTCTGAGGGGAGAATTCGGCCCATTTTGAATATTTTGTTAAATGTGTAATGAGCCTTGCAAAACAAAACTGAATATGAATTACATAAAGTAAATAAAAACTGTAATTAAGTAGTAGAAATGTTTTTTAAAACAAAGTGAATTGTAGACATAAAAATTAAAGTAATTTTTTAGGGTAAGTGATAAGTACTAGAACTAATATAATAATGTTAGATATTTAATGTTGAAAATTACCTCGAAAGGTTGATCAAACCAAGCACTTAAGGTTTTTATCCATTTCTGTTTATAACTTTGGAAAATATGCTTCTTTAGTTATCTTTTTAAAAGTAGAAATGTTGAATAACTCTTTGGGTTTTTTTTAATTTTGTTTTGTTTTGGAGTTTTTTTTGTTGTTGGGATTTTTTTTTGGTGGTTTTTTTTGGTGGTTTTCTTTTGTTTTAGAAACATAGCAAATAACTCCCTGAGTTTTATTTTGTTTTGGGGTTTTTTAGTGTTTTGTTTTGTTTTAGAAACGGGGTCTTGCTGCATTGCCCAGGCCGGCCTCGAAATCCTAAGCTCAGTTTCCTGCCTCAGCTTCCCAAGTACCTGGGACTTTAGGTGCACACCACCACACCTGGCCACTCCCCTGTTTTAATGGGCCACTCTATTAATTTTTTTATTTGACCCCCAGTACAAACAATTAGAATCCAATCCAAAACTATGCATATCTCTTTTAACATTCACCTGAAACCGAAAATGCTAATAAGTACCTTGATTGGTGAGATTTACATTGTGACAAACTCCTTTTCCTACCTGCTGTAAGTCTTATAAGCTGACACTATAGCAGCAGTCCCCAACCTTTTTGGCACCAAGGACCAACTTCACAGAAGACAATTTTTCCACAGACTGGACGGATGATGGGATGGTTTCGGGATGATTCAAGCTAATTACATTTATTGTGCAGTCAAACCTCTCTGCTAATGATAATCTGTATTTGCAGTCGCTCTTCAGTGCTAGCATCACCACCTCAGCTCCGCCTCAGATGTCAGGCATTTGATTCTCATAAGGAGCGCAACCCAGATTCCTCGCATGTGCAGTTGACAGTAGAGTTTGCGCTCCTATGGGAATCAAATGCCTCCACTGATCTGACAGGAGGTGGAGATTATGTGGCGATGTGAGCGATGGGGAGCAGCTATAAATACAGATGAAGCTTCGCTCGCTTGCCAGCTGCTCACCTCCTGGTTCCTAAGAGGCGCCGGACTGGTATTGGTCCACAGCCCAGGGCTTGGGGATTGCAACTCTACAGAGTTTTTTCTTAGTTCAGTGGAATTAAATCATACTCATTTAACTTCCTCAGAATCAACTAATGCAACAAACAAAAGGAAAATTTTTACTTACCCCCTTAGCATTCCCTACCCCTTCAAACTTCACCTTAATCTTCACTGTGGAGGAAAATTTAACAGAAGTTAATCCTGTAGACTTTTGGGCTTTTTAGAGCCTAAGTCCTGGCAATGTGTTGATGTTTTAAGAGTTTTCAAAGGTATATTTAACGCTATAGATTTTCTGCGTTTGACTTTAGCACTTAACCTCTGCATTAGAATACAGCTTTTACTATATTCTTGGACTTCTTCTGCATTTTGGTCCTATTTTTTGATGCAACTTTCTGTATTGCTAATTATGTGATATTGATTGATATGAGACCTGTTTAAGTTGTCGCCCAACATCAGTAACACTCTAAAACCTAGGAGAGATTAGCTATCGAAGCTGGAAAGGCGTGGGGTAGGGAGCCATGATCTTTTGTATCAGAGTAAAAATGTGATATTTAAAGTAAAATTAGACATTCTAACTTTACTATGACAGATTAAAACCATCAAATGGCAAAGATCAAAATGTTCAAAGTTACATTGTGTTAGGAGGGAAGGAGGGGCAAGGCCCACATCATAGGTAAAAACAAATTGTTAAGCCTCTTTGTGGGAACAGTTTGGTGATACCGTTAAAATTTATAATGTACATACTCTCTAACACATTAGTTCCATTTTTAGGAAATTATTCTATAAATATTCTTGCAACTGTACACAGTAGATATTTGTTACAACATCTTTTGTAATAGCATAAAACTGGAAAAAAACTGAATGTCTTACCAATAAGGGCCTGACTAAATAAAGTATGATACAAAAGTATACGTGGAGGCCAGGCGCGGTGGCTCACGCCTGTAATCCTAGCACTCTGGGAGGCCGAGGCGGGCCTCCTGAGCTCAGGAGTTGGAGATCAGCCTGAGCAAGAGCGAGACCCC